TGCATCGTTGATTTCAGGATGCTTGGAGGGATGGTCCTATATCTTAAGACTTCCAGCTTCACCTGGGATGTCTTCTCAGAGGCTGTCAGCTTTGTTATTCTGGTAGTGTCAGAGACCAATCAATGGGATGTCTAAGATGTGTGTACAAACACTTTTCCTCTGCTTCCCATTGAATTTGACATGTAACCTCTTCATGTCCACCATTCAGACAAGTCCCTGGTGATTATCTATTTCCTAACATTCTAATGATCCAAGTATCCTCTCATTCTTCCTCTTTGAACAGCATCCCTCTTTTTCCCCCCATTTCCTTCCTATTCTTACCTGTGTGTCTACTTTTACCTCTATCCTTGGGGAATGGCAGTAACTATTTGACTATACAAAGGAGAGGTGACAGAAGGGAGGAAGCCTTCTCATTTCTCTTGTGAGATCATGATGAACTGGCAGGTTTCTTCACTGGATATGGAGTTTGTAAAGGAAGTGCACAGGTAAGGGGGTTCATGCCTTCTCATTTCTCTTGTGAGATCATGATGAACTGGCAGGTTTCTTCACTGGATATGGAGTTTGTAAAGGAAGTGCACAGGTAAGCCTGGGAGAGAGGACTACTTGTGCACTTTGACTAAAATGCAGCCAAGACAAAAATGCATGTCCCATCGCCACCACTTCTAAGCCATCTGCAACTCAAAATTTCATTTTTCCTGTTCACTGTGCTGTGTCATCTATCTCTAGAACCTCACCTTTATTTTTGAAGAATAGATTTGCTGGATATAGAATTCCTGGTTGACAGTCATTTTCTTTCAGCACTTTGGTTGTATCATCCTATTGCTATGGCCTCCACGATTTCTAATAAATCATATTTATTTTTTTATTGACATGTATTCATTGTACAAATTAATGGGTTTCACTGTGACATTTCCATAACCACATATATTGTGCATTGATCATAACTTCATATTCACTCTCCTTGAACCCTCTCTTCCCCTCCTTTTCCCTCCTTGCTCCCTGACCCCCTTTCCAGTCTGTAATAGTCAACTTTTCTATTTTTAGGTCATCCCTTCCCCCTCACCAGTTGCCACATATGAAACAAAGCATGGGATACTTGTTTGACTTATTTTGCTCAACATATTGTCCTCTAGTTTCACCCATTTTCCTGCAAATGTCAGGATCACATCCTTTTTGAAAGTATGAATAATTCTCCACTCCGTATATATGCTGTTTTATTTTTTATTATTATCTGTTGATGGCCACCTAGGCTGATTCCATATATTGGTGGCTATTGTAAAAAGTGCTGCAATATACAGGGGTATGCAGGTGTTTATTTTGTATGCTGACACAGGGCCAATGAATATATAAAAAATCCTCAACATCTTAAGCCATTGGAAATGTACATCAAAATTGCATTGAGATTCCATCTCACCCTAGTTAGAATGACTATCATTAGAAAACCAACCAACCAACCAAACAAACAAACAAAAAGCAACAACAACAACAACAACAACAACAACAAAACCACAAATGCTGGCAGGGATGTGGAGAAAATAGACTGTTAGTGGGAATGTAAATTAGCAAAGTCACAATGGAAAACAGTTTGAAGCTTCCTCAAAAAACTGTCCTGCTATCCAGCTATCCACTTCTGGGTATATGTCTGAAGGAAATGAAGGCAGATGATAATTTTTAAAGCATCATTTATATGTGATGATTCACTTCTCCCTTTGCTTTCAAGATTCATTGTAGTTTGGCCATTTTTATAATGTGTGTGGATCTGAGTTTACTCTACTTTGAATTTACTGAACTTCTTGGATTAATGTTTGGGAACTTTTCCAATTGCCTCAAATATTCTTTTGGCCCTTTCTCTCTCTTTTCCCCTCTTTGGCCTTTCTCTGTGAGTTATGTATTTGTGTGAAGTAACTTTAGTATTATAGATATTAGTATGTATTTGTATGAAGTAACTTTAGTATTATAGATATTAGCAGTGAATATTGGAATAAAAAAATTTGTAATTGCCTTTCTCACAGCTATCAAGTGAATTGTGAGTACTCAGTGAATTAAAGTAAATGAAATTGCTGTAGCTTGTAAATTTATTGCTATTTAATACATTTATTATCAGTGTATAACTAAGAAGTTTGGACATTTCTGTACATATACCCATACTGCCACTGTTATACTTAATTAGTTCCTTTTCATTTCCTAATCCATACTTCCTATCAAAATTTCCCAACAATATGAAAATAACATCTTTTGCAGGAAAAAAATGTATTTTGAGCTGAACATCTATTCAACACTTTCTCTTTCCTGGCTTGCCCAATTTCTGAGCTATTGACAAAAGGACACTAGTTAGAATGTGAACAATTATTCTGAGATGAATGGATCAGCAATTTGTCAGCCTGTGTTTAGAAATTATGTCCTTGAATCTTTAGGGTTATAACATCAAAGCAAGAACTTACTTGATGCCATAAAGCTCATTATGTGAGGCATGTCAACAGGACTGGGGCAAATCATTGTAAAAGAGAAAATAAAGAGTTAGAGGTCAAGCAAGTAAAATAGGAACGTTACATAATTTAATAATATTTTTTTGACAATATTTCTGACACAATTGATGAACCCAGCTGTGAGGATGACAACTCCATTTTAAAAACTCCAGTTTGAAACCTGCAGTCTCACCAGGCATACCCACAGAGCCCTCCAGTATGGCCTCAAACAAGTTACTTCCTCTCACCCTGATAAACAGAGTGAGAAGATTGAGAAGATCAGGGTGGAGACCACCAGACCAGATATTTCAGAACCTATTGAGATGTCATTGAGAAATCTGGAGGTAGCTGATAAGGATTGCATGGGGGGTCAAAAAGCCTCCAAATTTAGTATAAATAATAGAGCTGATGAACAGGGACTCAGCCAGCGAAAACAAGGATGCACTCGAGCTGGAGAGCCTGTCATCACTTTTTATTGTTTCCTGATCCTCTGCTCGATCCTCACTACTCTCAAACTCTACCACCACATCTTGAGAACCACAACTTCTCCCTACGACCCTCTCCTCAACCTGTCATCCACTCCGTGCCAGGAAAAGCCTGTCTTGGCTCCAGACCTGGTCACTTCGGTCTAAGTGAGTGTGCATTTGCTGGACATAAAGCCTAAGGCTTGAGACTTTTGAACTTATCATGCAGAGGGAATGTATGTCATTAGCCTGTCATAATTAAATTGTGTTTTCAGTGCTTAGAATTAATCTAGAATTGTTTGCTCTGAATTAATTAAGCTGTAAATTGATTATGTCTATTGAAGTGCCTAGCATTAAGGATTATCGTTTTTTTCTTAAGAACCTATAGAGTGAAATTGTATTGTGTAATTTAAGTGAATAAAGCATTGAAAGAGGCAGAAGCATGTGGACATTCTTTATTTCTCTCCTCAACTGCATACGTTGCAATTTTGCCCCCTCATGACACAAGCCTAATTCCATTTTAAGATTGGAAGCCATCTCATCACAAAGTCATGAAAAGTTACTTTCTGTTTTACTATAAATTACTGCAATTTCTAAACTTGCTTGGAATACCTACCTGTGCCTTGAACTCACTCATGCCTGACTTTCCCTGACCAGATAACAACCCTCTCTGAAACCTTAGTGGCACATCATAAATTCTGGTTTTCCCTGACCAGATTACAACACTCTCTAAAACCTCAGCAGCACCTCATAAATTGTGGTGTTGGGATCTAAATTTACTCCCTAACTCGAAATGTTGAACCATTTAGATCATTAACCTACTATCTGCCTTTTAAATACTAAAATTATTTAAATGAGAAAATGTCTTTAAATTGATAGCAATTTATTTCACTCTTCTAAATCTCATGTTTGTCAAAATCCTGTTATCTGTAAGTACTCAAACACTCCCCTTTTGCAACTTTTTGTTCTATAAAACCATGCTCCTAGAGAGCTGGGGTATGTCCTCTAGCCCATGGATTTCAGGAAACAGTCTGGGCTGGCAGGAATTACAAGCTTGCTTTAATTTGATTTTAAATTGGAGTCAGTGGTCTTTTCTTTGGATCCTGGTTTAACAAGTAGAAAAGCACCACAGCGCAAGCATTATTAAAGCAGGGTTTATTTAAAAAGGGGTAACATAGACTTCTCTTGGGAGAGCGAAGAGGGCCATAGCTGGTATCCTAGTATCCCCAGAAGAGAAGCACTCTGCCCTTTTTATATGTCCTAGGCTTCCTTTGTTCTCCTTCCAGCTTAAGTGACTAGCCCAGGAATGTCCGGGTGGGATGGCCAAAGGGTGGGAAACAGGTGGGCTGGAGGGGGAAGGGCAGAATGGTGCAGCCCAGGACACATTAATTAACAACTTTATAGCTCCCTGTAGGGAGGGGGCAATTCCTGGGTCAGGAATAGGTTACAATACCTTAGGTTGGAGCAGGGGCTGGTTCTTGATAAAGGTGGAGGAAGAGCTATGGAGGAATTAACATTTCAATCCCTCAGGGGACCATCTCCAACTTGTCTAACTCATTCAAAATTGGCCTCCAAGATCCGACCTGACTAGATTTACCTTATCTATGACTGCCTAATTCTGGCTTCATTAGCACAGCAGACTCTCCTTTCAATATTCCAAGAGTGCAAACCCATATACACTAAAATTATTTAAATGAGAAAATGTCTTTAAATTGATAGCAATTTATTTCTAAATCTTCTAAAACTTCTAAATCTCAGTGATGCCCTGTAAGAAAACACTGTTACCACCCTTATTATACCTATCACCAGTCGCCCCAATGGATCCCTCTCCGTTCCCAGTGCCACAAACATCCTCTTCATACATATACCACGCACCAGGAAAAACCCGTTTTCATCTCCTGGACTGCGCAGTAGACTCTAGGGTAACCCAGCCACACCGTGCTGATTTTGGCCAACAGCAGAAAAGCAGCAGCGCCTCGCGGCAAGATTTTGGCCAACAGCAGAAAAGCAGCAGCGCCTCGCGGCAAAGCTCAGCAATACACACCCTCCTTCTGTTTCCCGAATTAGCCCGCTGCATGAGGGTTGCTAAGCAATCGTGCAAAGACCCCAGGGAGGGCTGCCCGGTCGGATGCCTGAAGGACCCGGCAGGGCCGCTCAGGCTAACTAGCGCAGTGCCTAGAGACTTGGTATTGCGTCTGGAGGATCGGGTGAACTGCGACCCGGCCTGGTGGGTTCTGGAGCAGAGGCGGGGAGCCTGTGGGAGTGGGTGTGTGTGGCCACTGGTGCCTGGGAGGAGGCGGAGTTGAGTGGCTGCACGTCCCTGCAGCTAGCGGGAGAATGAGGAGCTTGATGCTGCTCTCTCGGAGGATGAGCGGTGGCCCCCTCAGGTCTGCCTAGGCAACTTTTAAAATTCGTAATTTTCTGTGTGTGTGTGTGTGTGTGTG